TCTGAACGTGAGACTTAAGCGTGGGGACTTTTGAGATCACAATTTTCAATTTATCAGTCTGTTTTCAAACACTTCTGTTAAGACGTTAATTGATTAATCACAGAGTGCTGTAGCACCATCTTGCATAAAATGAATATATGGTTTTTCTTCCACAATGATTTGAAATAAGGCAGAAGAATGACAATGACATTCTGCTCTGAATTAATAGTGTTAAAAAATATATGGGTTCTGCTATTCATATAGTTGTCACAGCACACCACACACCAATCTTCTGATCTTGAAGGGGCACTTAAAAATTTTGTCTCAGATTAATACCGCTCCAGTACTTATTATTTTGGGCATTCATATAATCAGCTTCATCAGTGAAACATGAATCTTTTGGTTCAAGAACACTGTCCTGTACTGACTGTAAAAAAACAGTTACAGAACCACGTTCTTCTCTTATGTATAAAGTGAAGCTTTCATGGTGACTGAAGTTGATGAAAGACTCTCGGGTTACAAGCCACGTCAGGTGGCTGAATGGTGAATAAACCATATCTTCTGACAACGCTTTGATAACAATCCCATCGGCGAGTGCACTACAAAGGATCAGATTTGCCACGCAGCAGCCCTGAGGATGAGAGCAGAGATTGTTCTCATAACATTGGCAGAAGATGTGGTTTATTCACCATTCAGCCACCTGACGTAGCTTGTAACCCAAGAGTTTTTCATCTTGTTCTTCTCTTGTAATCACCTTCTTGAGTTACTTGAAATGTGGCTTCAGTTTTATCAAGCACTTCCTCCGTTAACACACCAATCTGTCTAGTGTATTTTTGTCTAAAGCAGACCCAGCTCAACACTTTTTTGCCAATTCAAAAATCACTGATGAAGCTGGCACTCAGCAACCAGGATACTCAAGGCAAACCTTCTTTACACTATAAACACACTGAAGTGCTCACACATTAAAGGCACACCATCAGTAACAACAGAAAAGGATTTAAATATCAGTATCATAGTTTTACTATGACCTTGTCTAATTCCTCTTTCAGATCCATCCCCGTGCACCTCCATTGCTTTAGGGCAGCCATTTATCCTGCCACATTAAACTCACTATGGACACTTCAAATAATTATGGCAGCTATTTACTATCACTACTGTCTGCATTTTTGTAAAGTGCTAATTAATAAACCTGTAAGTGTTCAGTATCTTTGTCATATTGTCAGTTGGCTTAGTTTTCTATGTAAAAATGTGTTTGAACTTAATTTCCATTTCAGTACACAAATGTCATTCTCATGAAACTGTGTTTACACTGAAGCATATGTATTGATTCAAAATAACTCTCCTTTTGAACAACACAATGACTTCATCCACAGCTAAATATTCAGGATTCTAAAATTCAGCACAGGTTACATTGACTAAATCAAAAAATAGATCTTATTTTCCACAATCTGTCATAGGCCTTGTCAATCTGGTTGATTCAGACTGTCACAGAAATGTAGAAATCTCATGAAGAAAGTCAGTTGTGTATCATCATATTTCTATAAAATGGTGTACAGATATGTTCAAGAATTGACCAAAAATCTTTCAATGTGTTCCACTTATTGTGTCACATTTGTATAACAGCCAAAAACACACATCACTTGTATATTCATATCAGAAATCACAAGCTTCCATTGTAATTTTCAAGTGTGCCTAAATATTAGCTTCTTTCACCACCAACTGGATCATGTCCATGAAGAAGACAAGAGGAGACTGAAATTGGTGAAGAATTCTTGCTCACATGGGGCACCACTTGTAACTTCAGTCCATTTAGAGTTCCAACAAAAGGGTGGATACCACCAGAATTTTATGAATGTTGTGGTCCTAACCACATTTTATCTCGGCTTCCAGACGGCATAACTCAGTCAGTACAGTGACTGGCTATGGACTGGATGATTAGGGTTTGATCCCTGATGGGGGGGCAGAGGATTTTTACTTTAGTCTCTGCATCCAGACCAGTTCTGGGGCCCACCTAGCCTCCTATCTAATGGGTACCAGGGTCCTTTCCCGGGAGTAAAGTGCAGCAAGGGCGTGATGCTGATCACTGACCCCCATCTAGTGCCAAGGTCAAGAATGAGTAGGAGCTATACCTCTCCCCACAAGCACCTACATGGCATATAATGGGACAGCTTTAATTTTTTTCCAGACATATTATTGTCATCACTTGCTACATCAAGCTCACTTTCACTATCCTGAGATTGATTCATCTGAGCCAGTCTCCAAGATTACCAAGTGTTCAATTCCTATTTCATTCCTCAAAATTTGTGCCATTATGACAAGAAGAAAATTAATGAAGTTTTCACAAGCAATCAGCTGTGTCAGGCAGTCATAAAAAAAGAATATTTCAAGACCCATTTCAATCCTCACTGTCAGGGATCTGATGTATGTGGAGCCCTGGAAGTCCCATATATACCTGCTTGAACTGGTTGCTGCCAGACTGGGGCTGGTGGGTGAAGTTACATGCCTAGCTCTGCTTGGCCTTACTTTCCCACTGGTGTGTCTTTAGACCATTGGATGCCACATGTGACTCAGAGTGAACCCTTCACCTCTGTTAAAGATGTTGGGATGTAGTTAGATCTCGATGGCTTCCCTCACACGAAAATCCATGTACTAGCAGCCGTCCGTAGGTTGGAGATACTATCAAAATTAATATAGTGTGCTGGATGAGTCCAGTGTTCTACCACTGCTAACTTCTCTGTTTGCTTGAGGCAGACATGCCTTGTATGTTCCCTCTACCTAGCCTTGATGGTCCTGCCAATCTTCCCCACATTCACAACGGATGTGAAAAATACTGGCAATCATCAGACATAGTTTGTCAGTAACTGGTCTGAGTAGATGGATACTTTTCCTGGAAGGAATGTGGTTGGTCTTGATGCCGTATTTATCAAGCAGGCTTGCTTCAGACAGTTAGTTGGTAAGGCAACATGGCTATACCAATTGGCTTTTGTTGTGTTTATGGCTGTTTCCAGCGGTGGATGTTACTGTCTTGGTTGCTGTATCTGCTTTGTCTGAAGATTTTCTTAATGTGTTCAGTTTACACATCAAGGCTGTCAGCATGACAGACCATGTGCTCAATGAATGAGTGATGTTGGAACCACCCTCTTCTGTGCTGTATTGTATTTGGTTCTTGCATGGAGGTAGAGGTTGTTGTGTGTATGATTTATGTACATTGTGTAGCCAAGTGAACCATCCAGTCTCCTGCTGTCTAGGATGTCAAAAAATGGAAGTGACCAGTAGTGACCAGTTATGTTCTATCTCTACAGTGAACTTTCATGTTTGGATGTATACTCTTAAGATGTTTCAGGAATTCTTGAAGTTCCTCTTTTCCATGAGGCCATACAACAAACATGTCATCCACATGTCTATCTATACCAGTGGCTGGGCTTCCAAATAACTGTGCTTATAGCTAGTTCTTCCAAGCATTCCATGTAGTAGTTGGCTATCACTGGGGCAAGGGACAAACCCATAGTGACACCATCTGTTTGGTCATAGAAAGAGCCATCTTATAGAAAGTAAATTGTGGCCAAGGCCTGCCTGAAAAGACGCAGTCTGGTTGTGAAGTGCTAAGTATGTCCTTTAGTAGGACCTTGGTGAATAACAAGACTATGTCAAAGCTCAGTAGGATGTCTGTATCCTGTAGGTTGTTGGGTGTTCAGTTTCTGGATAAATGCCTCAGAATTCTTAATGTGATAGATCAGCTTCTTTACAACCTCTTCAGGGATATCTGACTTCTTTGTGAGGGAAGCTGTTTGCCTGTCTGTCCTGGTGGTTAGATCCACTGTCTCCTGTAGATGATATCACTCAGTAGTTTTTTTCTTGTTGTGGTAGTCCTTGCTTGATAGCACAATGTCTTTGTCACCAGGGAGAATTGTAATGCCGTCAGGAAGGCATCTCATTCCACTCTTAAAATGTTCTTATTCTTCTGTGGCTTGGTATGTCTTATGATTTGGCTGGTCTCCTCTCGTGTCTCTTCTGCTGTCTCTGTTGGGAGATGCTGGATAGATTGTTCTACTCCGCTGATGACTTCCTTCAAGATGGATCTGGTGTTTGGCTAAACTTTAGGCCTTTGCTCAAGATGGTGATGGCCTCTGCATCAAGGATCGTCAGAGAGGTTCACTATGACTTTCTCAGTGGCCATGGGACCCAATGGGTACTGTGTGCCATGCAGGTGGATAACTTTCACTTATGTTTGGAAATAGCAGATGCTTGAGTGAGGTGTGCCAGAGTTACGATCCAGTTATCTACCACATCCAAGTCATGTTGTGTAAGAGTTGGATCTAGTGACAGGTGCACAAGCAATAGTTCCTTGGAACACAGTGTTTAACTACAGCTTAGTATGGCATATTCTTTCACGCAGTAGTGTGGAGCTAATCCATCAGAGGAAGATTATACTGTGTTGAGAGTAATAGTTTTCTACTAGTTTCCACTAGCATAACTAGAGTACTTATGTCAGTTTGTGTACTGAAAAGTTCTCAAGCTCTGGTCTAACCCACCAAAATATATCCACTGCCACATTCCCTAATTACTTGCAAACTACAAACACTAAATGTGGTAAATTATAAACTACCAATAATCCCCCCCCCAAAAAAAAAAAACACCACCACAGCCCCACAATGCCACCAGACTACCAACATATTACGTGACACTAGATGCCACTAACAAGACCTTGAATGTGTGACAGTATGATGACCATGTGACTGGAACTTGACAATTTTTTGGTAAAACTAACCTTCGCAAGTTAATAATGAAAAATAAATCACAACTGGAAAGCATTACAGAATACTGTACATAACAATGAACAAATTAAGCTGTCATCAGCTGCTGTAAAAAGACTTGTAACTAAAGGGCTACTTTAACAGTACACATTGGCAATACGCATCCAGCTGGAATGTTTTTAACCATGCAACAAAACAATAAACGTTAAATCATCAGCTATAGTTTAGGCTTAATTACCTCCAAGCACTATGAAAATACACATTCCATTAGAGAAACATAAAATAATTTTATTGTATTCTTATATGTAAAATATGCAACTTTTCTTCTAAAATAAATGTTCAATAAATGCACACTTATGCACAAGTATCCCAAGAGTAGTAAATTCTAATTTATGACATGCTTGCATAAAATTTGTCACTACAATTTTCTGTCCCAAGTAAAAGATCATTTACTGTTTTACATCAATGAAAGAAAATCTAGAATTAATAAACCATGTCTGCTGCATATAAACACAAAACTAAAGTTTTGCCAAAAGACAAAAAACCCAGATCTGTCAAAATACAGATTCACACACATTGCACTCTTATTCATGAAAAATATTTATTTACTGTCCTTCTTGCCTTTATCACCATGGAGGATTTCACTCAGCCAAGATTGTACATACGTCTCTGTCATTACCTGACCACTTACTAACAGTGTTTCAGGTTGGGGTCATTTCCCTCCATCATTACAATCATCACCCTCTTGCTGTATTCTTGTCACTGCTGAGCGAACTTTGCGAATAAGGTCGCTCATTCGTTCATAATTACCTGTAGAATCCGGCAAATTCTCAAAATTTATAACACTGCAAATATGATGTGAAAACTTTTCAGAACTTGGTAAGTGAGAATATGGAGAAGCACTCTGTAGGATGGGGGTTCCTAGATCCACAGATTTCACTTTGCCCAGAGTGGAAGTGCTAGGTCCTGGAGTACTCTGAGGAGCCACCCTTGGTGTTGTATCACTGGAACTTCCACCATCCTCTAGTTCTGCTAGCAGAAGCTGCTTTCTTGTCTCCAGATCTGACAGTGATGGAGATTGTGCTCGTGGAGACGACATACCACTTTGTCCCTATGACAATGTAAGATAATCAAAACTAAGAAAGTGAAGATCAAGACTACAAAAGTATGCATTGTTTGCAAATTCTGATTTTCTAATAAATGATCACATCACTTATCTTACTTAGAGTACATTAGTTTTCAGCTATACAGCTGTGGTCTCAATGCCTTATTTAAGTAATGTACAACAATACTGACACATCATAAAGCATATTGGCTCTGTGGTAGAGCAATGGACTTGTTTTTGTGGGGATGCAGAATCAAATCCTGATCAAGCTGAAACATTTTTATTGTCATGCAGCTGCTGTGTTGTTAAATATATACCAAAATGTTGTTTTTTTACAAAAATCTGTAACTACATATCAATGTATGACCCTGCTGCAAGAAGCACTAGTACTGATTTAACTGAATGTAAAAGGGGTCAGCACCTGAATGACCCTTACACCATGACAATTTTCCCAATCTTTTGTGTATCCCCATTTACTTAATCCAATAACAGCCCTACACCTCCCATGAATACAGTATCCTATGTAGCAGGATGTAATGGATGCTGTATGTTAAAGAACTCTTTAATGGTAGCCATAATCAAGACCTCCAAGAGGTCCCAGGTCTCATAAGAATCCCTGGGTCTTTGGGGATGGTTAACCTCTTTAATTAGGGTAATGCCCTCAGACCTAGGCTTTTTAGGCACCCTGGTCAGGGCTCCCTAGACTTAGGTATTGCCATGTACTCCAGTACTTTGCCTCTTCCTGGTTTTAAGCTTCCTCCTGGCACATGCAAACACTTGGTTGTGCCAGATGAAGTCTGGCTGTGGAACAGTTCTCTTCTCAGCATCCCTAGGTTGGCCATCACTGTTAGCCTCCAGCTAGCTCCCTGCTGAGATATATAAACTTTCTGATGGAAGTGTTGTGTTAGCTCTTTTGCTGGTGGCCATAATCAAGGCCTCCCTGGACTCATGGAGTCCTTGAATCCTTAGAGAGGGCTGACCTCAGACATGGGCCTTGTAGGCACCCTGGTCAGGGCCTCCCTAGACTTAGGTAGTTCCATGTACCCCAGTTTTCATAAGCCCATGGGTGCACTAGAACCACTTGCTCCCTGGAATGGTATGCTAGAATTGTTGGCTCCCCACTGAAAAGAATCAACTTAAAAGGTCTACATTAAAGACCTTTATTGCTCTTTTATTCTCATGTTCAATTATTATTCCATGAAAACCGAGGAACAGAAGTCACCACTGCAGGTGGAGGCACTGATAAGAAGGGGTGCTGATTGGTGTTCTGAAGGAATTGTTAGCAACACTGCTATCACCATCTCAGTGCCATGCATCCCTCAGAATAATACCATACACCTTGGCTTCAGTGGCATGGAGCCCTGTTTGCCATCCAAAGACTTTACCCTGTCTGTGACAAGGAAACCAAGAGTTGGATTTTGGACAGGTGGCACTTGTGTTGATCCTGTCTCACAAGTCTGTTCATCCACCAAGATGGTATTACTAATTGTAGGAAATTGAGAAGTATGATATTATGGTAGTCCACAATGGCATAACAGCCATACCAAGTTTCATCCAGATCCATCCAGCAGTTCTTGACAGACTGACATTACCAGCCAGCCCTATATGCATTCATTTGATGCATACTCTACATAGAACAAATAATGAAGGTTTAATGAAATTGCAGTAAATCATATGAAACAATCCTGGGAGACTGTGTGGAAGCAAGACAGACTCTTGATCCACAGATTTCTTCACTGCAATGAAGTGCATTGTACCAATTTTAAATTAATGATTATCAGGTATACCAAAGCATTCTGGAAACACTCTATTCCTGATGCCAACATATGGTGATAGAGAAAAGACAAAGAACAATTACTGTATTATATGGAAGTCTTACCAGAAAGTACAGCATTCCCTAGATCTGAAATAGACCACAGTGAAAAGACTGAAGAAAGTTACATTTATGTACAAAAACTTTATACGAGAATTTTATCTCGACAAGTAACAAAATTACTTTTTCCTAAGATTTTCTACTCTGATCACACATTTGAGACCAGCTGGTGGATAAACACTGTAGATGTTATGTCACTATGTCCCAAATGTATCTTCTTGTATCCAGAAATTTTTAGTTTCTTTCAGCCTGGCTGTATAGTAGCAGATTCAATACATCCCATATATCATTATGCTGGTGAGCATAGGACACCAGCATGCTTACCTGTTCTGATATCCTGACATGTCTAATGTTTAGATAAGAATCCAGTTTTTCTGGTAGATTACTATATGTGATATTAGTCTTTTACTGAATGTAAAGAAATACAGACAAACTTACTATAATTTGTCAGATAAATTTCACTCACACACACACACACACACACACACACACACACACACACAATGTCCATGCAAATATACCAGGCCAGAATTATCTTAAAAACACAAATGGAAGTGTGAGAAATAATGTAAACACTGCACATGCATATAGGAGATATACAACTTCTAATAAGTAATTAGTTGTTTCTGACAAGATACCTCACATACCAATTCTGTGCAGACTGGTAAGTTCCATGTTCCACGAATATGATGAGCTTGCAAATGATGTATAAAAGGAAAAACATATTTAATGAACAATAAATAATGTGGCACAATTTTGTGTTATCATTTTTTAATTCCATATGTCTTCTAGACCAGCATTTCTCAACCTATGGTATGTGTACCACTGGTGGTACACAAGCCAATGTTGAGTGGTATGCAAACTAAGTAAGAAAATCAATCAAAGCTGATATTAACCGAAATGAAACCTGACATACAAAAGTTGTGTTTTGATAAACAAGCACAACCTTCACACTGAAGCCTAAATTGGTCTGTTACGTATCCAAAGACGTGCTTATTGTGAAATATGAAATGGTCATATATGTATGTACACTTTCATTTCCACTATTATGCAGTTCAGTAGTTATTAAACTATGCACTATTTGAGCCTTATTTTGCACATACCTTGCAGTATATTTTATGTAGCTTTTCTTTCAGCAAATACAGTTAAAGAGAGAAACTGTTTCTCATTGAAGTACGTACATATGCAAAACGTTAGTTATGCCGCTGGGGGCAGGCATCAAGTTTTACCTGAACACATTTGGTTAGTGGTACATTTAACGTGTTAAATTAGCATTAGCGGTATGCCAGCAAAAAACGTTGAGAACCCATTCTTGACTTTGGTCTGCTAGAATGTGTTTTATCAGTTCTGTTGGTATAAAATTTCAAATTACACATTCATGTACTATCATGAGATATTAACCACACACAGTGCAAACAAAGTTGTACTTTTGAAAGCACAATTACAAACTGACAGGGCTGTCCCACAATGTCCCATTCTTTCGGGGACCTAAGAATTAATGCACATCATCACCTTAAGCGTCAATGAAGTAAAAATGTAACACAAATACATATCTAAGTGAAACAAAAATAACAAAGGTTTGTAAAGATAGAGAGTTTTTTTACGTCTATTATCAATTTGGAACAGGAATATATTGTGGTGTTCAGTAGCATCATCACACACTTGGGATTAGTTTCCTATACACATCTGTTTTGTGTCCAATTTAGAATTTAAAAATGTTGTACTCCATGTGGTACAAGCTATACACCACGCTCACACTCTGACCAAACCAGTGTCACCTTCACTGAAGGAATCATTAGCAATGTTGCATTCTTTCCCATGTCAGAAGACAGCGTGTACGAGGTGATGTGGAACTGCAGTTGCAGCATGAATTTCAACATCAATCCTTGTGCTGAGATCATCAGTTCAGTACCCCTTATGCCTAGTGAGGAACTTCCTATTGGATGGCTTGTCAATTAAGATGTCACTCACTGAGTCTGACTGGCTTAGTCTTCCAACAGATTTAAAATCCTAAATTACATATTAGATCCATCCAGTATTAATTTTGGAAGAACGTTAATTTTGCCTTACATGTGGGATAGTAATTATAATAGTTTTATAAAACAAGCATATGCAGCAAATTTGGAAGATAACAAACTGATTGTCTGAGTAGAACTATAAAGGAAAGAGTCAATAGGAAACAGATGGTTCAGAACAGTCAGGAAAGTCTGCAGGAAGATACCACCAAAGTACTGCAGTATGAAGAGAACCATAAACTGTGACTATATATTTTTATATTGTTCAACCAAAACATTCAGAACTAACCGGTTACTCTTGCAATTAAATGGGGAACATTGCAAAGAACTGTTTGAAAATTAATAAATGACCCCGACAGAGGCAGCACCCTGCACAGGCAGATCTGTCAGGTTTCACTATCAATGTGGATTGCTTTAATTACAAGAAGCGTGGCCACTTTGCCATGGACTGTAAAGCCAGAAAGACAGCTGAACTGTGCAGTGCATAAAGAGGTAAAATAACCGAATTCCTGATCAGGAAAACACATCCTGATGCCAAGGCAGCAATAAATAATGAAGCTGTATTCCTTGTAAACATACACTCTGGTGACTCTGGACAGTTCATTGTGGCCACTAGCGTTGACAGCAAGGAGATGACTTGGTCAGCACACACTGTCAGTTGTGAAACCTAATGTGTCACATAAGGCAGTGGTTGATTGTGTAATTTTAGGTAAAGGGGTAACAGGACATGATTTGAATACTGTAGGTCACAGTAGTATTAGAATTTGAGAATTGGCTGGAACTGATCAACTCATTCAAAGTATATCCTCTGGAAATAAAAGCAGGGGAGATTGAACAAAATCTATTTAGTCAAAACCTTCAGAAACAGATTAATTGGCTTCTGAAGCACTATTTTAAAGTTTTAATTGGTATTGTGAATTACAATGACAAGGAAATAATCAATGAAAAACTTGGGAAAATTTCCAATTTTGAAGGAGATATGAAAGACATCTCAGATAATGTATATGAAACAGGTTGGCAGAAGAGTTACTTACAGTTTTAGTTTTATTTGGGTATTGGTTGGGAAGCCTGAGTGGAAAGAGACTACTGGGGAGACCTAGACATAGATAGGAGGATAA